GAGCAGCCTCTGGCATGCGGTCACCGTCACCTCTGCATGGGGCATCCGTTCGCTGACTGACGGCATGCCTGCGCAATACCAAGCAGGGGCTTGCCTTGCTCTCTCCATCGGCAGCAGCCGCCGAAGTCCAAATCAGCAGCGACCAATTGGATGGCATGGGGCAATCGTGGATGTCGCAAGGCTGCTTGATCTTCCTTGCCAATGACCTAATTCCTCTCTCTTCCTCCATCATCAAACCTCGTCTCCTTCACTCTCGTTCATCCACGCACATCCATTCTGGCCCCCTTGCGCTTTCGTCTCCACTTTCCAAACATCATTCAAAATGAAGTTCGCTCTGCCTATCGCTCTGGGTCTGGCCCTCGCCGTCTGCGGTCAAGCACAAGAGTCCCCGAGCTCCTCTTCGAGCGCAAGCACTAGCGCTGCGCCTGGCACCAGCCCTGCTCCTTCTCCTTCCAGCTCGTCCAGCTCGTCCAGCTCTTCTGCTCCTAGCTCCTCCCCCACCTCTGCTCCGGCTGGTGGCGCCCAGAGCTCCGGTGTCTGCTCCGTGCTCGTCGGTGACCCTACCGTTCGTGCTTTCGACTGCACCTACTCGAGCACTAGCACTCCTCCTTACGACGCTTCCAGCATCCAGGTGAGTCGCTCATCTCTCGGCATGATCGTTGGGCACACGCGAGGAGCGCGCGCGTTTCATGGCGTGCCCATCAGTCCCAGGGTTGCTTTAGCACCGATCGGCCCGTCTGACACGCATCTTGCCTTCTGCACCACAGTCCTACCTCATTGGTGGCTACTCTCCCAACCAGGGCGAGGAGGTCGGTGCTGTCGCTACCGAGCTCGCCGAGAGCGTCCTCAACTTCTACCCTACCATGACCGCCAGCGTCAGCCAGATTGCCTCGGTTAGTAGGTCCTTTGATCACTTGGCGCGACCCGAGAGGGGACGAGGGACAGGGAGAAAAGGCTTGAGGAACATGAGATGGTACCGTCGGCGTGATCTGCTGGAATAGACTCGGAGGATGGCGCAGCCCCATGCGTCCAGTAGAAAACATCTTGCTGACACCAATTTTACCATTGATGACTTGCCATGACCGTGCTCACACATTTGCAGGAGTTCGGTGAGTTCATTCTCGCCCCCGTCTCCAAACTTCAATGCGCTAATCAGATGATGCACTTTATTTCTCCATCACAGAGGAGGCTATCCACCGCTCCATTCAGAACTACCGCAAGCCCGACGGAGCAAGTCTCGTTGCTCCTCGCAACCTGGGAGCTGTCGCTGTTGCCGGAGCCGTCGCCGTCGCCGGTGCCGCTTTCATCCTCTAGGCGATGGAGCAATAGCTAGGTACCGCATCCTGAGGCTTTTAGCATGTCGCACTTAATACTGCTGCTCGGCGAAACGAACGAGCTATGCAACACTTCTCCATTTCCCTTCTTGTCTGCGCCCTCTTGGACACACTACCATTTTGCTCGATACTCGCACAAGTCTTTGACACTTTGATTGTGCGCACACAGTAGATCCCCCTTTCCCCTACCTATTCACTTACCCATCGTCCCCTTTCTGCAACCTACGTCCCTCTGATCATTCAGACCATCTAGATGCACTGACGCACATCTCTTGTTTTCGCGATGCCTGATCTTCAAACGGTCTGAATCGGCCACCGTGAGGCGAGCCATAGACACGGCCTGACAGGCTATGCGATACGAATGAGCAGCAAGCTCGAGCAGTTTGCCAATTTTGAGAAGCGAAACATTTCCCGCGAAGCGTAATGTCGGCTCGACCGGCAGCGAGTGGAGTACGGCTCGGAAAGAAGCTTGTGATCTATTGATAAGCGGTAGCTCCGGTCAATTTCCCGATGCAAGGCGTTACAATTGAGACGAGCGAAGTGGAACAGAATGCAGACAGAGTAGGCAGAGGAAGACTGTATAGCCTGAGCGTCTGGCTGGCATTTCACAGTCTTGCTAAAGGGGGGTATTCTAAAGTCGATAGCTTGTTCGAAATTCGTGATGAGGGTGACTGTGGGCCTTCGTATCCAGAGACGCATTGTCGATCGTGCGAATCAATCGCGCAGGTGGCTGAGAACCAATAGTGGAAGATCAGGCGCGATGTCGCCCACCCGATTCGCATGCACCCAGGAGCTCATGGAGCAGAAGGTAGATCGAAGGAAATATTCCTATTCTCCACTGACAGCGTCCCCGTCCTTACTAGATGGCGCAACAGCGTTCCGAGGCGACGTGGAGTCAGCCTGATCCGCTGATGATAAAGTCTCCACACTCTCTAATTCCGCCTTCTCGATCGAGGGTGACTCTTCAGGTATGGCCAGAGGCACTGTCGAGAGGCCGCTACCAGCGCCAGAAGGT